CTTTCGTCATCCAGTGGCGAAAATCAAAACTACTGAGAACAGAACTACGAGCAAAACAGGCAATAATGTCAGATGTTGCTCCAGAGCCAGTGTCAATAAATGCATCTATCGTTTTTGCATCATCAGAGAAATCGACGTTACTTGAAAGCAACATTGCCAAATAAAGGGTCAGCTTGGAATCTGTTGCTACAAAAACGCGAAGACGATCCGTGCGAACGTACGGCGGTTCTGTAACGCGCTCTCGCGAACTTGTAACATCGAAGAATCGGCTCGACGAAACGTGCCCGATTTCACTTCCGCATCGAGAATCGTAAGGATACGTATGTCTCTGGTCGATCGTTAGTAGATAAAGATACAGCGAGGTTGTGAGTTATGGCACCCATCGCACTCCAGTCGTAAACTCACGTCGTAACGTGATTAAAAGTACGGCACTACTTTAGCAAAGAGCGTATATATTCTAAAGAGGAGGCTTTCATTTCGCAAAAGGGAGTGCCGATAATGAAGTACGTGCAGTTGGGAGCATAATATGGTAATTATAATGCATATATATGTATAGTATATATATATATATGTATATATATCTCTCTCACACAATACACAGCACCCTAACCACAAGTACTCGCCCCTGAGTCTGTATGAGTAATTGTCTGAGGGTCTATTTATCTTGATAAACTTAACGTGGCAACCAAGCTGGACAGTAAAATAGCCGAAGCGTTGGTTTCATGTGCGTTGCTAGGGACCGGGAGGATGAGAAAGAAATATGCACGTATATCGGCTGGACCAAATGTAACGTATCACAGCCGCAGAGTGTGACACAGCACCGCCCCAAAAAAAGAAAGAATCAGGGGCCGACACCAGAGTTCGAAGACCGACTGTGTGCCGCTGCGTGTATGTGTGTGTGTGTGTGTGTGTATGTGTGGTGAGTGGGGGGGTGAGGGTTGGGCGGGGGTGGTAAAGGGGGAATGATAATAGCGAATGCGGTTCATCAGCGTCCATAATCGCAACGAAAATCGCCCTCGGGCAATCGGCAACGCCGCGTTTCTCTCCGCGCGAAAAGGAAAAGAAAAAGGTACAAGAGATCGATTTCCTGTGCCGCGCGACAGAGTCGCGAGAGAGTTGTACACCGCCGGCAAGTCGAGTGGCGTTTTGCGCGCGCGAGAACGTACGACATGAAAAAAATATGTAAAAAAAAAGGAAAGTGAAACGAAAGAGAGGGAGGAAGAAAAAAAAAAAAGAAAGAGAAATGGACGGGAGAACAAGAGATCGATTTCCTGTGCTGCACCAGCCAGCGTCGAGTTGCGTTCGGGAGCCCCGTCGTTTCATGCTAAATGCCACGGTAAATAGCGGTCAATTTACCGGGATATTCTTTCGTGTACAACTTGCCCCGGGGATCAAAACTGGAATAATTTCGTTGAGGTCGCGCTCTGCGTCGCGGAGGGCGCGCAAAAATGACCTTCGCGTTTCGTCTGCCGATAGTAGACGCCGGCGAGTGTGTAGATTCTTCACGGCCACGGACGTTGGAAAATCAAAAATCGTCGGGATTGCAAACGACTTCGAAGTTCTGTGCTCGTGAACGCAATGCACGATACCGCGAACCAACTATCGCCGATCGCGCGAGACCGTCACGTTCGCGAAAGGACGCGTCAAGGCACGCGCGCGTTGCTCGCGTTTGTCACACTCGCGTGAAAAGAGGGCAGAGTCTCGCGGTTTGCGATCGGCACAACGTCAGAGTTCCCGTGGATGCGCGAGAAGTAATCTCCACGTTGGCGAAACGCGATGGTCGACTCGACGCGCGCTCTCCGCTCTCTTTTCGCGTCCGAGGCAGCGAAAATCAAACTCACCGGGATCGCACCGACTCGGATCGTCGACCGACAGGTGTTAGATTGGCAGATTCGACAACGGGAAATCGGCGTTCGGCACGTTTACCGCGCATTTGGCACCTACTTGCAATTCTCGGATGCTGCTGCTGCTGCTCGAACAGAGTGCTGGGAGGACAGTGCTTGCGAGAGAGGCGAAAAACAAGTAATAGTAGTAGAAGAGGAAGAAGAAGAAGAAGAAGAAATAGAGAAGAATCGGCGTTACCTGTACGCTGAACTCACCAGGGGCCCTGCCGCTCGTGAGGGATCGGCCTGTGGTCCCGACCGGAAGCGCCCGGAAGTCGGTTGGCACCGTGGAGAACGCTCAGCCAATCCCGCGCCACCTCCTTTAGTGAGCGGGGGCTTGGGATTGGCTGCTATCCAGCCTCAAGGCCGCTGATGCTTCTCCTTGCCCTTTCCAGCAGGCCTCGAGTGTTGTACTACATGGCCGTGCACGAGGCCCGGAGAACAGCTATCGGGGTGGCGACTCCGCGATTCCGCCGCTCTGGAAAAATGCTGGCGCTTCGATGGGACTGTCGGCGCGGCGAAGCGGCGGAATTGTCGGGTCTCTCACTACCCGATGGACGGAGCGGAGCGTGTCGCACGAATGTCGGATCTCCGTCGATCGGCACTGCCGGTGCGAGCGAGCGAGCGAACCTGTGTCGCGCTCGTCGCACAGAGCACGGGCGTCCAACGGATGCGCGTTTCATGTTTGATGAGTTGCTCCGGATTGATTCTGTCGTTACTTATAAATGCAGCCGTACGTGGCACGTCTGTTGGACACCCGGACTGTGGAGTAACCGGCAGTAACAGCGGTAACAGGACGGGAGGGGAAAGGGCGGTCATTCTCATAGGCGATCTTTTTTCCATGAGTCCTTAGTGTCTACCCGCGTGTCGACGGCGTCGATACAATGCGCCGATAGAAACCGGAAGGTGCATGCCGATCTCGTACAGAATCTACAATGCCAGATTGGAGCGTAGGTTGGATAAAAAAAAAACCCCTTGCAATTTTGTCGCTACGTGTCGAATTGTTATATTGATGCATAAATCAGGCCAGATCATTTCTCCGTGTCGAAGGAGAATTCGTCGCATAATTTTTGCAAAAGACGCTGTCGTTCAGCGGTGCGCAAAATCGGATCTCTGCATCGATGCGTCGGATGCATCTCCGAGTGCGTAGCGTGAAGCGTGTTGCGTAAGACGACGTTACGGCGCGAGAGAGACTCTCGAATCGCTCTCGATCTGCCGGTGAATTTTCGACGGTGGCAGAAGAAGAGCGCCAAACACGAGACCGCGCTGTATGTGTGCAGAAAATAAGAGGAACGAGCGCCACAACTACGCAACTACGCCTTCGTCTAAGCCGTGTCAATTGATCGGGTCAGCTGTTAAATTTAGCGTATGAAACAGTACAAGTATGTAACGCGGTATACGAGGTGTTCCGGAAATCGCGCGCTTCCTCTCCATCAAAGCTCGTCCTCGTCTATCATTGATCACGGTTCTTGTAATTGCTCATTATCACTGATTATCAATGTCGGTCTGGCAATTACCGACAATCGTTTCCCTACTCAGTCTCTAAGTAAGGAAGCACGCGCTTATTCGGGGACACCACGTATAAGTGCATGTAACTAACGTACGGCAATCGGCCATGTGTGCGCACAAGTCACGGACTGTCGACGGCCGCCCTCTTCCAAACGAAAGGGCGAGGTGGAGTGCCAGCTAGGCAAACAGCCAGCTAACCAGCCGGCCGGCCAGGCCAGCGAGCGGGCTCCTGGATTTTCGTCCACGACGGGAGAAGGCAGCGTCGCTCTCCCTCCTTACTTGGGCCGCGTGCGGGGGTGATTTTCGGGGAGGTAAAAATATTCCAACTTCCAACTGTTGCGCAAATGGCGAGGCGCAAACGCAGTTTCGAAGGCGTGGCAATCGACAAAGGGCCCGGAAGCGGCCGATAACGTGCCGTTTTCCATTCCCCCTCCTGTATCTTTCTCTTTCTCTCACATTCTCCTTTCCTCTACCCCTTGATCTTTTTTTCGCTGCCTCGTTACGCACCACCTGCGGAGTAGGATGCAGCCTGGCCGCAGAACAAACGAGTAACGTGCCTCCGCTCCAGTCAGGAACGCGGGACTCACAAGCACGCGACAGCGGGGCAGGAGGAGCAAGACGGGGGAGGCCGCGGCGTCGTCCAACGAGGGGCCTCTTCGGTGCGAGCAAACGGCATGGGCGTCTGGAATTCGAGACAAAGTCGTCTTTATCACAATTGCTGTTAAGAGACGTCCCTCGCTTCATCGCCTCGTCGTTCACTCCCCTTTTCTTTCTCTCTTTCTCGCTTCCTAGCTCTCTCTCTCTCTCTCTCTCTCTCTCTCTCTCTTGTTCTCTCGATATACGCATATACACACACATATACACACCTACACCTATGCAGCAGACACACACACGTATACAGCTTCTTTCGCCCATTCTTTTACTCTCTCTCTTTCACGCACACTCTCTCTGTCTCGCACATTCTTTCTCTCCCTCTCGCTTACTATCGAGACTGCCCGACGCATTTTCCGTGACGCACCGCGCACGATAAACGTTCGCCTGACGTCGTTTCTCTTCCTTGGACTGCTGAACGATAAAAAGCCGCGCTAACCTAGAAAGCGCGCGCGACGCCCCGCCGTGAGGAAATCGACCTCCTCCTCCTTCTCCTTCTCATCGTCGTCGTCGTCATCGTCGTCGCCGTCGCCATCGTCTTCATCGTCGTCGTTGTCCGTCGTGGTACGATGCACCGCGCGATCGATCCGTCGCGTGAATTATTGCCTCTTTTCTCTCCCTTCTCCCTTTCTCTCTCTCTCTCTCTCTCTCTCTCGTTCGGCAGCGACGACGCGCACGCACACGCACGCACGCACGCACGCACAGACGCTACGGCGGAATATGCAAAACGCCGAGCGATCGTTGAGGAAATCGCGAAATTCCGACGCAGCGGCTCGCGGAAGCTTGGCGAGAGGCGACCGCGATAACAGCCAGGCGCGTTTCGTGCGTTGCGACTCTTCGTGCCGCGCGCCACTCGACGCGATACCACGGCGACGACGACGGCAGAGGTAGCGGCTGCGGTGGCGGTGGAAGCGACGGCGGCGGCGGCGGCGGCGGACGATACCGACGCGAACGGGCGAGCGATCGAACGAACGGGAAATACATAAAGGCTGACCTTGGTGCGCTGCACTTCGTCGGCGGTGGTGCTCCGGGATCGCCACGAGACACGTACGACTCCCGACGGCCGGCGTGGTGCCGACGAAACGGTGAACGCGATTCTCCCTGCCATGGTAAGCGAGCGCGCCGACGGAACAGCGTCGGTCCTGTGCCTTTTCCTTTTTTTCCCTCTTTGCTCTTTCCCGACTCGCTCGCTCGCTATGACGCACGAGCTTATGGTCGCGATCGATAGATTTTCCGCAAAAGCGGCGGCCAGTCGCTGACGGAACCTCACCGACCCGTCCGTCGTGTACGAGGAGCAATCGTGGCGACGAGAAGTCGAGATTGGAACGATGATGAAAAAGAGAGAAAGAGAGAGAGGCGGCGGACTGATGTTTGCGTTCCTAACCTCAAAACGGCGCTTTTCAGGACGTCTCCGCGTTCTCCGAGGACAGTTTTGACGTGAAGGAATGGATCAACCGGACGTTCAAGTCTGCCGAGGCGCAGGAGAACAAAGACGTAAGTCGTCGGGCACTCCAGCTGCTCCCTGCCGATCCCCCGCTTTCCCTCGCTTTCGTTGACGTGCTTTTCGAATTTTCGCGTCGCGCTCGTCGCTGCAGCGACACTCGGCCACCGAACTGTCGACTCGCACCGCACGCCCGCGGTCAATGACACTGGACATCTTTTTTAAAACATTTTTTTTTATACAATGACGTAGGCGCCAGCGGTGTCGGCCAGAAAGCAACGCTTTTGATACTTGCGTGCCCTTCACGTTCGAAAATTTGAAACATTACCGACGAACAATTAATGCGATTGTTCGTGGCAGCACTCGCGCATATTTTTCCATACATATTTTTCGAATAAAGTATTATGCAAATGCGAGTTCTCATGAATCTTTCTTGACTACCTGTCGTCAATTAAATTAAAGTCGTCGACTCATCATTAATAATGGTCAATATTAAAAATAATGTATATACATCAGTTTTATTTTGTAATTTTGTCAAATAATATTTTTAAGTCTTTGTATGAGAGAGAGAGGAAGAGATAGACAATGAGTTGACCTTTTGCTCTACAGGCTTTTGTTTCATCATTGGTGATGAAGCTGCAATTGTATGTACAACAAGTCAATGGTGCCTTGGAGGAAACCAGTCAATCAGTACTCTCTAGCTTGCCAAGGATTTTAAGAGACACTCAACTTTTACAGCAGGAAACACTAGCACTAAGAGAGAAAATGGTTGCAGTCAAACAAGAGATTGCTAAGGTTTCTACATCTGTACTTTTAAATCAGATATTCTGTTTGATTTTGCATTTTGCAAAAATTTTAGACACATATATTTGAAAACAGGTAGAGAAAGATACCGCTTCTTCCATGGCAATGTTGGAAAAGATTGACAGGATAAAAACAGAACTACAAAATGCTAAACAAGGTTTGCACGAGGCTGACAATTGGACAGTGCTAGCGAATGATGTGGAGGAGGTATATATGGAAATGTTAAATTAAGATTCTTAATATTTTTAAAAATGTATGACTCAGCTGTAAAACTTAATTCTTTCTTACAATTGAATGAAACAGGTGTTTGAGTCAGGAGATATAGAAGCTATTTCTAATAAATTGTACAGCATGCAAAAATCTCTGGCCATGTTAGCTAACGTGGTCGATTACGAGGATAAAAAGCTGCAACTGGAAGGTTTGAAGAATCGCCTCGAAGCAATAGCTAGTCCACGATTAGTCCAAGCGTTTACTGCTGCTAATTTAGGTAAAACTCTAAAATATGACTGAATTCATCGTCTTGTGCAGGATGTAACCATCTAATAAAAATATCGTATTGTATTTAGAGCAATCCAAAATTTACGTGGACATTTTTAGCAAGATGGAACGTCTTCCTCAGCTCCTCAAATACTATCACAATTGTTTGAAGGTCTCCTTGGGGCAAGAGTGGAGACGCAGTATTGAACTAGCTCAGGACGAGAACGTTACATATTGGTTACACACATATTACGATAAACTGTTATCCTCCTGGCACGAGCAGGTATGCATTCTCTTCCAGATTAAAATATTATTATTGCTATCTACATATGTTTCTTGTAACTGTCTGTGTTAAAGGTGAAATGGTGCCACCAAGTGTTTCCCAATACTTCGATAGATATCCTCGTCGAGGTCTACGGTGATCTTTTGAGAAGCCTAGATCCTAGTATTCCGGAATGTATAGAGGCGGTTCTGAAACAACACTCTAACGCGGTACAATTGTCCATACTATTAGAACTGAAACAGATGACGAAACACTTCGCCGTGAATCTGAACGGTGCTATCGAAACGTCGCTTCGCGGGAAATTGCAGAATGAAAAGTTACTGCTGTTAGCGCAGGCAGTATATGCACCTTACGTCCCTTACGTCGCCAAGTACAGTACGTTCGAGACCGCGCAGCTAGAACAGCAACTTCAGTTTTTGGATCATTCACATGACGACTTGAGTGATACTATTAATTCCCTTTCGCTTAGTATTTCGCGGGTCATGGGCTACGCCAACGAAGCCAATAAACGGTGTAAACTTTTCACGGAAGGTTGTGGATATTCCGGTTTACTGCACTCGTTAAACGTATGTTTACATTAAGATTCTTCTAGTAAACCGTAAATGTGGCGAATGTCCATTCTAATTTTTCTTACATCTCGCAGATTTACTTCAACAAATATCTAGAAAAATATCAGCAAGGCCTGAGGCAACTCGAACGAAGGAAGGTGAAACACGAAGATTGGAATTTATTTCAAATGTGTCTTACGTTAATGCAAACTATAGGTAATTATTGCTCGATTTCTCGCATATAGAATATCACAAATTCATTAATTCCATTGCAATGCTGTACACAGGTGATCTCTTACATCAGGTGCAACAGTTCGAAAAGTCATTAGTGATCGACATCACGGAAGCTAACAATAAGTTACAAAGTACAAATGGCAGTGTTTTCTGTCATTATAAGAAATTGTTGCTGAATGTTTCGGGACGCGCCGATCTGGAAAATTTAATTGCATCTTTTCAAAGAGGTGCGTACGTTCAACGATAATGTAATAATCCAGAATGAAATCATAACTTATGTGTATAAATTGTCAATTGCTTTTCTTACAGAGGACAAGACAATTCTCGATTCAATCATAAAGTCAATTCAAAAACTCTGTTCCGATTTGCACCATACAACGTACGAAGTTATTTTCGCCCCAATATTTTCTCAACTGTTGTTAGTGCAAAAAGCACCAGCCTGGTCGTTGGAGACTAACAAAATGTCCAATTTGAGTTCGGATCTGCCCGATTACAGCTTTGCTCCGCAAGAATATATTACGCAAGTTGGGCAATATTTAATGACGTTACCACAGCACTTGGAACCATTCTTACTGAGGGACAATCCGTGTTTAACGCAAGCTTTGAAGGCAGCAGATCCCCAATACGCCCAAGGATTGACTGAATCGGGATTCACCGGCATACTCTTGGACATCGTTGCTCGAGGAACGTGCCAAATGTTTCAGGATCAGACCTTGAGTATTTGTCAATTGAACTCTGTTGCCTGCAAGCAGCTTGCAACGGATATCGGTAAGTTTCTTGTATCTTTATTTTTATAATTTCTAAGAACAAACTGTGAAGGATTATAAATGAAAGTTACATTTTACAGACTACCTCGGTAATGTATTCGAAGAGCTTGGTCTGAGTTTATCGGAGAATCTACAACATATGTCATTATTGCTGAGATTGCCACCGGAAGATTATCAGAACGGTAGTTCTGGGTGCAATGCCCGTGTTGTGGCCGCTGTCAGACAAATGCGTAATATTACGTCTTCCGGCTGACACAAACCGCATTCAACACAGGATAGTGTTATAACGTCGGAATTTTCTCTCGACGTATTTTCGACCAAGCAGTGATCGTTCATAAAGTTTATCCAATTATTTTCCTAACTTAATCTTATACTGCGATTACAGATTATTCTATTTAAAAAAAAAAACATCACTTTATCGATGAATAATACTATTCAAAATATGTTATGTTACTTGAAAATAAAGATTTGTTTGATATGTTATCGAGTGATGCTCTTTAGAAATAAATAGTTTAATCTGTCTGTTCTCTCTCTGAACTTGATTCATTTATCAGATATCTCGATTGTGCTGTATATATTAACTATAATATGTAGTAATTAGTACATGATAAAAACACTAATATCTCCTATTATCGCTTCCCTCTCCCTTCCTTCTTTCTCTAACATTCTCTCTCTCTCCCTCTTGGACCACCTCCATTCTTGGATAAACTTTCAAAATACGCAAGCATTGCAAATCATCGTTTAAATGCGACTTGTCAAGAAAAGTCTCATTGGATACATCCAATACTACAACTGCTCAGTAAATTCTTACATATTCCTTTAGATCTAAAAATATACATAAACTAGATGTAAGAGCTCATTGAACGATGTAGTATTGGATGCATCCAATGGTTCGATATATTCGAGTTCGATATTTCACGTTCTTCTCATGATAGAATAATAGTTGGCGTTTTTGTATGAAAATTCGTCACTTTATCACTAAATTCGATAGTCCAGAAATATTTCAATTTCAGTTAGTTGGAAAAGCGTCCGTCAATTTCAGTTAATTGGAAAAGCAGTTTTCCACCAATCTATTATAAAACGCGGATTAATTTGACTTTATACATGGCAGTAATACGAGTTACGGATATTTCGTGAAGTCAGTGTTAACGATATATTATAACTTTTGTATATATCCCATTTTACTAATCAATCTTTTGCTAATCAATTTTAAATGTTAATTTTACTAATCAATCTTAAATGTTAAGAACGACTCCACTTTAGTCATATATTCGAAAATCTCAACTTACTAAAATGCTTTATCCGAAGTCTTTTTGAAATCTAAAGAGCCGGTCATGCACAAGCAAATAAGCCCTTGTCCACGATTGTCCCTTGCTTTAATCTTTAAGCTAATAAACTGACCGTAATAAACTGACCTACCACAGTCGGTTATTTTAAAAATAATGAACTGTGGTTGGTCAATTTTTACGGCTTAAGAATTAAAGCAAGGTTGTGGACAAGGGATATGAGATATAAGAAATTATTAGACCCGTTATTTTTATATGGACGCAACGAGAAGCATGAGAGCGGTCACCAGCTTGATTTCAATGGCCAGAGCTAGGCGCATTTTCAAGATGCCATCTAACAAAGTGCGTCTTTACTACGTTCGTTAGGCGCATTTTCGCGGTGGTAACGATAAAATGTGCCTGGTTCGTGTCCGTTGTACTTCCGTACAATGATACTAAGTTAGAAAAGGATAAACGTTCAATCGCTCTATTCTTGTCTCACCACTGATGAGCGGACCGCGCGACATAGGCACGAAGCGAGCTAGCGGCGATATCCTGACTGCATGTTTTTGTTTTCGACACTCTAAAGTCTGATTTACAATATGCTCTTTGCTTCCTGCTTCTTTCTCTTTATCTTTTTGACTCAAACCTTAAGCTTTAAGTCAAAGAAAGATAGAAGACAAGAAACAGAATGCAAAGAGCATATTGTAGATCAGGCTTTAACTTATTTCCGCAGAAACTCACAGGATCAAGCGAAAGACATATGGAATCAGAGGTGGGAAATCTTGCCCGGGCGCACTGGCGTTTTACTCTTTCCACTTCTCACACAAAGACGCTTCTGTCCGTCCGTGTGACTCAGCGCGGCGCGCGCAGTCTCACGGATAGACAGAAGCGTCTCTATGTGAGAAGTAGAAGGAATAAAATGCCAGTGCGCCCGGGCAAGATTTCCCAGCTCTATATGGAATACGAAGCGTTGTGTCCATGATACACGATTGTCGATAAAGTATTATTATCACTACCATTATTTATTATTCGCATTTTATTACTTTTTTATAATAATTATAATAATATCTGCTCGACAATCGTGTGATAATAACCACGAGCGGATAATAACTAAATAACGATGATCGAATAATCGATAATAACAATGAATAACAATAACTGGGCAACGGCAATAATAACTGATTAAAGACAAGGTAAAGAACGGCACGTCCGAGTTGCTTTCCTTTACTTAATAGCAATAATTAAATAATAACCAAATAAATTAAATAATAATCGAATAAAGAAGTAATAATACTCGAATATTAAATGATAATAATAACATCTGCTCGACAATCGTGTGATAATATTCGCATGGATAATAACGAAATAATGATGATCAAATAATCGGTAATAACAATACTTGGGTAACGGCTCTAACGGAAACTCTAGGCTCCACAAAGGCTAGGTAAGCGGACCCTCGTAACGGCCGACTCGTGTCGCTGACTGAGCGGCGCGTCGGAGGGAGGTGCGCGGCCGACTCGTGCCACTGAGCGGCAATCGGGGGGGG